CGCATACCGCTTACTTTAATTGCAAAAATTTTGCCTCGCATACCGCTTAAAAACCCGCTTACCGATTTTCGTCCGAGACGCTTCCAATGTGCGGCCTGAGCCACGCTCACATGTTCCGCCGGTGGCATTGTTTACCAGCCAGCCTCCGCAATAACATCCAAGCATACAATCGGAATATTTCGTATTATTACAGTGTTTTCGGTGCTGTTTCTGGAAAATAAGTGACCATGGGCCCCAAGAAAGCTTCTAGTGCCAACCCTGTGGTAAAAAGGGTGAGAATTAGTATGGAAATTAAGAAAGATTTTGAAGGGTTTGGGGCTAACCCTGAGAAGCCTATGCCAGTTGTGGAATCCATTGTGCCTACTTCAAAAATTAAGGAAATGTGTGCACAGTGGGTTGAACTGCAAACCTTTATGGATGAAAATCACCCTGACACAGCTGTTGCAAGCCGTGCTGGTGACTATTTCAATGACAATGTTGTGGCCCATTTTAGACAAATCGTAAAGGAACGGGAGGTACAGAGCTCTATGGACAGATTTGTTGTGCGACAGAGGTCCAGTGACTCTCAAGCTGGTCCTAGTTGGCATTAAAAGAAGAAGGGAAGTAACCCCGGAAAAGGACTTGCTACCTCAAGTCCTAATGGAAGGGGATTCCCCTTCTAAACAGTAAGAAGATAATGCTCCCTCCCCTCCTCCCATCCCATCAATCATCACCAGATCTTCAATAAAAGTAAGTGTCATGTAAGTGTGCATGCCTTTTTCAGTTTGTGTGTATTAAAATTAACATTTCATGTGGTAAAAAAATTTTTTTTTCATACTTTTGGGTGTCTTGCACGGATTAATTTTATTTCCATTATTTCTTATGGGGAAAATTCATTCACATAACGATTATTTCGCATAACGATTACCCCTCTTGCACGGATTAAAATCGTTAACCGGGGGTCCACTGTAATATGACTTAAGACTGCTATGTACATAGATAACAACATAATAATATGACTTAAGACTGCTATGTACATAGATAACAACATAATAATATGACTTAAGACTGCTATATCATGTGGGAGTTCGATACGTGGATTAGGTAAGAAATACTCACGTAGGCTGTTATTACGTATAATTGCTGTTATGTGGAGAGAGCCCTTGCCAGCCGTACCTATCTCCTTGGTTACACTCGTAATACTGACTGGCCGCCCACAGTACCCTATGTAAGGGGGCCTTGAATACTGCTGAGGTCAGCACAATATGAATTCAGATAGTGACTCAGGCAGAGACGGTTGGTCGTTGAGTCAACGGACGGTTACTGGTAACTGGTTACTACTACTGAGACTGGTAACTGGTTACTACTACTGAGAGCTCGGCGACGCTAACGTATGTCGTCCCGACATACAACTAATACAAACTAGAGATGGCAGGTATACGGCTTGGGCTGATTCTATACAATGTCAAAGTACACAACAATGAAACATTACATATATACATAAGTAGAACAATGGAATGAAAGCTTACGTAACTGAAACTGTAATGCAATACAAGGTATACTATAGTACAACTTAAAACTCAACAAATGAACAACGAACTCAACGTTGAGATTACAAGTGATAAAAAACAAAAATTTTGATCGATCGATCTGTATTCATGTGATCTACGGATTCTGAGGAAGGAATATATACAAAGAAAGAGTGTTTAACAGAAAGGCAGATTCGGTGCACGCAAATCTAGACTGTTAACTCTCAGAATGCGGAGAGAACACGAACACACAAAAAAAAAAAATTCTTGAATACTGATAAGTTGATACTGTAATTATTCATCTATACAGGTTATTTACATTTAACCCCAACTCTGCTAGGGTAAGATTGGCATATGCAGAATGGGTGTCATCTCTGGGAGGATCAAACTCTGTAGCATTGGCTAACTCATGCTGTATTTGAGGCAAATCTGAATTGGAAGTTACAAATGATACTTGAGGATTTCTCAATACCTGTCGTGTACGTAGGGAATAACGACATTCAGGTTGATCGTCTGACTGAGTATCAGAGGAAGAGAGTACAGGATCAGGAGGATTGTCAGAGTCTGTCACATTAGTCTGGGTTGGAAATCATTATCATCACATACTAACTTCATATGATCCAAATGCGATTCTTTATACTGACCAGTACTAATCTCTCTAACCTTATACTTATTACCAGTGATATGTTTCAACTACTCGATAAGGACCAACAAACTTTTGATCAAGCTTTGGCATTGCAGACGTTTTGTTAAAGTTAATCAGCATAACTCTCGAACCTACTTTGATTTTGGATGGCTTTACTCGAGTATTTGCGACTCTTGTAAATTCAGCTGTTTGATTTATGAAGTGTTTCACACGGATTCTTCTAAAAACACTTTGAGCTAAGCTGGTACGAGTTGCTATGAAATCATCAGGGTTGTAATTTGGTTTCGGATTAGAATACAACAACTCATAAGGCAAACGTTTATCTACACCATACAATGCATAATGTGGAGTGTCACCTATAGAAACATTGTAAGCAGAATTTATAGCACACTGCACATCAGGTATAATTTCATCCCAAGTTTCACTGTTGGGATTGATAGTGGCTCTCAAGACATCAAGTACTTTCTTATTGGTTCGTTCCACTAACCCATTGCTGGCAGGATGATGAGGAACAATGGTGGATTTAGAGATCTTGTACAAGGTACACAAATTTTCAAGAATTTCATTACAGAATTCACCTCCATTATCTGTTACTAGGGACTTAGGAGTGGTATGCCTGCAGATAATGCGTTCTTTAAACGCTTTGGCTACTGTCTCGGCAGTCTTGTCTGCAATAGGAACTAACTCACAATATCTGGTGAAATGGTCTACCATAACACACAGATGTTTGTTACCTTGGAGGGAACATTGGAAATTAGTTAACAAATCTAGCGCAACTCTTTCCCAAGGTTCGCTAGTAGTTGGATACACTTGGATTGGATTAGGACCATTAGCATTGCCTTTATGTTGCATGCAGACACTACATTTCCTAACATACTCAGAAATATCAGTTGCCATTCAACGGACGGTTACTGGTAACTGGTTACTACTACTGAGACTGGTAACTGGTTACTACTACTGAGAGCTATGTACATAGATAACAACGTAATAATATGACTTAAGACTGCTATGTACATAGATAACAACATAATAATATGACTTAAGACTGCTATGTACATAGATAACATAATAATATGACTTAAGACTGCTATGTACATAGATAACAACATAATAATATGACTTAAGACTGCTATGTACATAGATAACAACATAATAATATGACTTAAGACTGCTATGTACATAGATAACAACATAATAATATGACTTAAGACTGCTATGTACATAGATAACAACATAATAATAAATCTAATTTGAATGGATCACAGTTGATCAATCAGCCTTCACATATCAGGCGTTAGAGAATAATTCTCATAGTACAAGTCCAACTTGCATGTAGTCCCATCTCGCTACATACAATAATATGCGTATTATCTACACATAATACTAACACACTGGACAAGCAACTGTCCATCACTTCCAATCAATATGCTGCCCTACCCTCGCTATGCACAGTGATGTAGGCAACCCCCCCCCCCCCCCCTTGAATACCTTATCCATCATCACTACTACCTTGAAAGAACAGGAGTACTATATGAATAGTGTATAGTCCATGTCACACAAAAAAACTGGCCAGCTCCACAGGTGCCAGCACCCGTGGTTCACATATTTTTTGAAGATCTGGTGATGATTGATGGGATGGGAAGAGTGGAGAGTGTTGATGGTCTTAGTGTTTAGAAGGGGAATCCCCTTCCATTAGGACTTGAAGTGGCAAGTCCTTTTTCGGGGTTACTTCCCTTCTTCTTTTAATGCCACTAGGACCAGCTTGAGAGTCACTGGACCTCTGTCGCACAACATATCTGCCCATAGAGGTCTGTACCTCCCGTTCCTTTATGACATTCCTAAAGTGTTTCACAACATTGTCAGTGTCACCATTAAACACTTGTTCAGGTTTCAGTCCTTCACGGTCTATGTACTCCTCGAATTCCTGCACATATTTTTCAGCTGCTTTTTGGTCCAAACTGGCAGCCTCACCATGCCTTATCACACTATGTATGCCACTACGATTCTTAAATCTCTCAAACCAACCTTTGCTGGCCTTAAATTCACTCACATGACCACTAGTTGCTGGCATTTTTCTAATTAAATCGTCATGCAACTTCCTAGCCTTTTCACATATGATCCTTGAGAGATGCTATCTCCTGCTATCTGTTTTTCATTTATCCACACCAATAATAGCCTCTCAACATCTTCTATCACTTGCGATCTCAGTTTCGAAAACATAGTTGCACCTTTGGCAAGAACAGCTTCCTTGATTGCCGTTTTCTTGGCCACAATAGAAAGCGATGGTTGATTGGGGTTTTGTGTACAGCCTGGCCAGCTCGGAGACATGCACTCCACTTTCATACTTAGCAATGATCTCTTTCTTCATATCCATAGTAATTCTCACCCTTTTTGCTGTAGGGTTGGCACTAGAAGCTTTCTTGGGGCCCATGGTGACTTATTTTGCAGGTGCAATCACTAAAAAGGCTGTGATAATATGAAATGTTCCAATTGTATGCTTGGAAGCGACCACGGTGGCTGGCTGGCTTGTAAACACTGGCCAGAAGTGGACGCGTCTCAGACGGAACGAATAGTGTTGGTCGAGTTTTTTAGAGCTAATCGAGGCAAAATTTGTGCGATAAAATGTATCGCTAGTCAGATTTATTGTTAATCGATGCCATCGCTGGTCGAGGGTCCACTGTATTACATTAAATATTAGTAACTGATAAATTAACCTAGGACACCCCATGGAAGGATTTAAATCCATGGAAATCCCGTTAGTTTTACCTCGTCCATACACGTATATATTTTAATCATACACAGCTGCATTTTTGCTGTATGAGTATGTTCTCTCGTAGTAACGAAGGCAAATAATGAATGTTGTGTTTTGCAGAATGTCGAAGAATGTGTCGAGCAGGAGCAGTCACAGATCTTCGGTGAGTTCGATTGGTTGTGAGTTATTTTGACCCTTTTTTGGGGTTATTCTGGGTAATTTACAGTTTGTATTTGCGTGTATCTATGTGTAAAAAATTTATTTACAATGTGCTGCGGAAATTAGACGCAAATTCACCGCAACATAAAAAAATGCAAATCTTTTCTCTTAATGTGATTCTCTGTTGTTTTATCGAGTCATAAATAAGCTAATGTCAGTAAATAATTGCATTATACATGCACATGTGATGTCAGTAAATGACTGCGTTATACAGGTGATGTCAGTAAATGGTCGCGTTAAACGGATGATCCTCGACTTACGATTGGGTTACATTTCGACGAACCTGCCGTCTTTCTCTCTCCTTTTGCTCTATTTACATCACAATTTTCCCTGTGTCATAATTCATCCTATGTGCCAAAGCTCTTGCTGTGTTAAGATAAGATAAGAATAAGATTTCGTTCGGATTTTTAAGCCCGGAGGGTTAGCCACCCAGGATAACCCAAGAAAGTCAGTGCGTCATTGAGGACTGTCTAACTTATTTCCATTGGGGTCCTTAATCTTGTACCCCAGGATGCGACCTACACCAGTCGACTAACACCCAGGTACCTATGTACTGCTAGGTGAACAGGACAACAGGTGTAAGGAAACGTGTCGAAATGTTTCCACCCGCCGGGAATTGAACCCGGGCCCTCCGTGTGTGAAGCGGGAACTTTAGCCACCAGGCCACCGGGCCGCCCCAATACATTACTGTCATTCATCTTTCAGAATAATCTTCGTAACACCTTGTACGTTATAATAATAATGTTTATTTCTAGCAGTATATGATATAACTTATACATACCATAGCTGACACCTATGACATATAGAAAGTCCCTGGTTATGTAGGGCATTTCCCACAACTTAGGTTAATTTTATCCCCAGGATGCCACCCACACCAGTCACCTAACACCCAGGTACCTACTTACTGCTAGGTGAACACTGACAGCAGGTATATTAAGGAAACATGCCCAAACATTTCCACCTGTACCGGGGATCGAACCATGGACCTCAGTGTGTAAGGTTATTGATAAGCAGTAAAGAACAAAAAAAAATCAATACAGTGGACCCCCGCATAACGATCACCTCCGAATGCGACCAATTATGTAAGTGTATTTAAGTAAGTGCGTTTGTACGTGTATGTTTGGGGGTCTGAAATGGACTAATCTACTTCACAATATTTCTTATGGGAACAAATTCGGTCAGTACTGGCACCTGAACATACTTCTGGAGTGAAAAAATATCATTAACCGGGGGTCCACTGTACACAAATAACTCACAAATAGGAGAAAGAAACTTGGGACAATGTAAATGGTCCAAGTCGGACCGAAACATCATCATAAGCTCCTCTCTTCTATGTGCGGGTTATTTGTGTATTGTTCCAGTCACGGTATTGTGCCTTTTTTTTTTTTGTTATTTATTGACAATGTTTCGATCCGACTCAGACCATCAACTAGCCACACACACCGACTAGCAACAAACGACAAATTAATAAAAGTGCTTATTTGACAGATCCTTAAGGATGTCCCAGAGAGGAAGCCTCTGGAAACCATCGAAAGCAACCCAAGTCAGCGACGATCTCTGAAGCGAGTTTCCTTCGCTGACACCAACACTATCAAGTAAGTACGAACTGTTGAGACAAGATTTTGTTGGGGTTTTTAGCCCCGGAGAGTTAGCCCCAAGATAACCCAGGGGAGGGTTAGTCCCTCAGGACAACCCAGGGGAGGGTTAGCCACCCAAGATAACCCGGGGGAGGGTTTGCCGCCCAGGTTAACCCAGGGGGGGGGGTTTGCCAAACAGGATAACCCAGGGGAGGGTTAGTCCCCCAAGGACAACCCAAGGGAGAGTTAGCCACCCAAGATAACCCAGGGGAGGGTTAGCCACCCAGGATAACCCAGGGGAGGGTTAGCCATCAAGGATAACCCAAGAAAGTCAGTGCATCATTGAGGAACTGTCTGTCTGATTTCTGTTGGGGTCCTTAATCATGTCTCCCAGGATGCCACCCACACCAGTCACCTAACACCTAGGTACCTACTTACTGTTAGGTGAACAGGAACAGCAGGTGACTTACACCCAGGTACCTTCTTACTGCTAGGTGAACAGGACAGCAAGTGTAAGGAAACACTCCCAGTATTTCGACCCTTGCTGGGGATTGAACCCCAGACACTCAGTGTGTGAGGCAAAAGTGTTGTCTACCAGGCAATTTCATTTCTTCATAATTTATAATTGTACAGTAGTCCCCCCGTGCCCACATGGACACATTCCAAGACTTACCATGGATATCCAAAACTGCGGAAAGTAGCAAACACTATATATAAGCAGTAGTGGGCATAGTTCCGCTAACCTCTAATTAGCAGAACTAACTTTGTTTAGCAGATCAGCGTTTCCACTAACTTTGGAAATCGTTAGCGGACCAGTTAGCTTCCTCTAAATAAAGTTCCACTAACTTTGAGTCTGCTAAAAAAAACAGTTCATACATTGCTGGTAGTCAGAAAGCAATGCCTTTTCAATGGCGCACGTATTTGTTCCTGTCTGTTGTGGTTGTTTCTCCAGCAGTCAGTCAGGCATGCTATTTGCTGACTGTATAGCAGTCAGCCAATAGTGTGACTTGTCAACGCAGCAACAGCAGCATTGTTATAGTCTTAGTGTCAGCGATCACTGGGGTGCATTGTCACTTATCGTTATGAACAGGGGAGATGTTTCTTTTCCGCCTGAGGGTGTTGTTGAGGAGTCAACAATGGCTGTGGTTGAAGCAGAGGCCGCTCAGGCTGAAGGCCAGGAGTCACAGAGCCCATGACCCCACCTGGATGACTATTTTGTCCTCAAGTCAGGGGATACAAAGAACACCAATATTTTGTACTTCCTGTGCGTCATGTGCCAGCCCATGGAGACCATCATCAAGGGACGGGCAGCGAGCCTCTACAACTTGAAGTCGCATGTTGAAAGGAAGCGTCCAGTGCATGCCATCAAGTTCGAGAGAGAATCAAGGCCAGATCTTCCCGTGGAAAACACAGGCAATCTTCTTGTGGCAGCGCCACTAGTAGGAGCAACAGCCAGCCATCACAGCTGCCTGCAAAGAGAGCACGCCAGACCACCATTGGCGAAGCATTTGTTGCTGCTGGGCCTGGCATTAGCATCCGTCAGTCTGTGGTGGACACAAAGATTTTGGACCTATTCGTCTGCAACATGCTACCACTGCATGTAGTGGAATCCTCCACCTTTGTCAGCTGATCAAGACGCTGAACCCCAGCAAGACGTCGATATGCCACCGCACCCTGAGCAGGAGGATTTTGGTCAACCATAAACAGCTGGAGGAGTATCTTTTAACCCGTAAACAGTCCAAGCAGATCTACATTCACATGTGTAGCGCTACAAAAGTAGATCTACGTTTTTTTTACATATTTTCAAATATAACAAAAAAAAAAGTAGATCCAAGTTTTTTTTACACATTTTCAAATGTAAAAAAACAAAAAAGATTACTTTTTTTATATACTTTCACATGTTGAAAAAACGTATATATACGTTTGGACAGTTTACGGGTTAAGGTATTTATGAGTTATAAGTGCTTATTAAATTAATACTATACCTTTTTTTATTTTTACTTAATTTTTGTGGGTATTGCAAGTTACAACAGTTTTGAAGTACAGTAACTTTCCCAGTGTTGTAAAGTAACTAGGTAAAACTACTTAAGTAACTTTTCTCAGCGTTTGCTTTTCAAAAATTACCGATGATGTAATGAGAAACGTTATTAGATTGTAGTGAAGTAAATAACAGACTTCAGTACTTAAGTAAAAGTAGTGAGTAATTTCAGTACTTTTTGAAAAGTAAATACCCCAAAAAAGTTACTTAAGTACAGTACTCAAGTAGTTTTACTAGGAAGGTCTCCAGGTCCGTTCTAAAAGTCTTAAAAGCAAAAGACCAGGTAACTAAACTGAACCTGAATTCATGTAAAAAAGTTAGCAGTTAGCGTTAGGTTCCGCTAATTTTTTTGGCCGTTTAGCGTTAGCGTAGCTAATTTTTTAGTTAGCGGATTAGCGGTTAGCGAAGCTGACTGTTTGGTTAGCTGTGCCCACCGCTGTATATAAGTCATTTTTCATCCGCATACATACCTATTATAAAGGTTAATGATAAATTACATACGTTAAGTGTAGAATTATCACTTTTTCACTGATGGGAAATGCTTCACAGCTTCTCTTAGGCTTCGAAGAACTGCCACCATCACTACTTTTGCACTTAGGTGTCATTATGAAGCAAGACTAAAGGTTATTTTTGGGCCATGGTAAATCGTGGATAACTGAGTCCATCCATAGATATGGGGTTTCTACTGTACTGTAGTTTACATTGGTAAGTTTATTTACATGCAGGTATACATAAATATAGTTACACAAATTATCATACATAATAACGTGCATTTCATGGGGAAGTGGAACACAATTCTTCCTCCGTAAGCCATGTGTGGCATGCAAAGAGTACGTAACCTTTATTCGAGCGCATGTACACACCCTCATTTACAGGCTATCTCCCCCAACCAGCGAACCAGGTTGCTAAGAGTTGATGATGGGGCCCCGTCGTTCAACTAGTGACCAGGTTCTAGCCAATAAGAAGATGGTTTTGGCAATCGCAGAGGTTATGTGGGTATCGCTCTCCTGTCTGCCCTTGTCATTCCCATCTAGAGCTGGTTGAAGCACGGTCTGCTATCTTGTGGCTTCTATTTCTGCCTTGCTTACCGTGGAGTGCACTATACTTATCACTGTACATAGTGTACATATTGCTGTTATAAATTGGTGAAGGATAATATAAGTCTAAACTTTTTCTGCTGTGTTTATTTTGCTCCATTACACCCGGGATAACAGGCCATTTGGATTCCTGGGTTGTAATATGGGGGCCTGTCTGGGAGCTGGAGCTGGACTTAGAGAAACGGTTGAGCTTAGGGTGAAGCTCGTAGCAGGAACATTGTGTAGCTTGCTGTCTGGCATTGCTTTACAAATTTTGCGTGTCAGTTGCTTTATGATCAGCCTTGCTATTGTGTGATCGTTCAACAGCTCACTACTAGCTTGTTCGGTGTGCTCACTTCGCTAAGGTCAATCTTCTAGAACAGTGTAGCTGTCTGGCATTGCTTTACAAATTTTGTGTGTCAGTTGTTACTAGCCTGTTCGGTGTGGAGAATTTTGCAGTCGGCTTTGCTTGTATGCGTATTCTGCAATTGTACTGTGCATAGCTAAGCGCGTTCTGCAAATTAACGTGTTACGTTGGGGTATTCTGCAATTGTACTGTGCATAGCGAATAACTTATGCCACCTAGACGAGTCAGACGTCTGGTGTCGGCATATACTTTGCATAACCTACCTAAATTGTCCCTACAGCGTTGTTGGCAAATTGCTCGTTCCATTGGCATTAAATACAAACGCACTCTCACAGCTGCGCAACTGCGTTCACTGATTGCTGACAAACTTATAGAAGAAGAGATGGCACATCAGACTCCTCCCTCTACGGGAGCTAGGGCAAAAACTACAATGTTCTCACAGGAGGAAGATGATACACCTACGGAGCAAAATGGTCAGTATAGTGCAGCTGGGCTGTCTCAGGGTGAATCAGCGTCGTTGGCACTTGAGCTGGCAAAAATCAATCTTGAGCAAACTAGGGAACAGAGAGCATTCGCAAGGGAAGAATTTGATAGGGAAAGAGAAAGGAGGCAGTTTTCGCATTCTGTAAATGATTTTAGTTTACAAAAAGCAGTACAGCTTGTTCCCCGCTTCAATGAGGCCGAACCAGAAAAATTTTTCGAAAGCTTCGAAAATCAGGCTCGAGCCTTGAGGTGGCCGGAACAGCATTGGGCATCGTTGGTTCATACAGCATTATTGGGTAAGGCACAGGAATTTACGTCAGTATTAAATGACCCTGAATTTTCTGATTATCAAGTAGTGAAGACCACAGTGTTGGGAGCATATACATGTATCCCAGCCAAATACCGTAAGCTTTTTAAATTAAGCAGGCGGCAGCTTGGTCAATCCCTAGTGGACTTTGTGAGACAGCAAACCAAAGCTTTTACCAGCTGGTATAAAGCAAGTGGTGTCTCTACCTTTGAGGAGCTGGTACAGCTTATTCTGATTGATAACCTGCTGGAGTCTGTGGGACCAGAGGTTAGAGTCTTTCTGCAGGATCGTGACTTAACCACTGCATTGGAGGCAGCCAGGTTGGCTGATACCTTCGAAACTAACCGCTCCTTGTCCGAGCGGTCCCGTCTCTCTTTTCAACAGCCTGGCATGAGCAGAGATCATCAACCTTGGAGAATGAAGTGCCAGCCGGAGGGAGAACATCTACGTCAGCCAACTAAGTCACCTGGTGAGCCACGCTTCTCAACATATGGTCCACCTGCGGAGAGGCAAACTACTCATGGTGCATCTCGACAACAGTATCCAGAGAGACACCAGCCAGAACGACACCATTTGCAACGTCAGCAGGGAGTAAAGGGCAAGCCTGTCGTCTGCTTCCTCTGCAACAAAGTAGGTCACATCCGTCCCAACTGCCCCCATAAACCCCAACCCATTGGGAAAATCTCTAATATCCCTAGTAACATGTCCCCTAGAGAAGTAGAAAAAGGTATGGCCCCTTATTATTGC